GACGCCCCAAACCCTAATAGGGTGTTAGGTCGGGGCTTTGGGATTCCGGTATCCTTCAGCACATGCCTTCATATGCTCAACCTCAGTACCTTCTCGGAGGTGGCAATCAGTCACAGTATGTCTCAGGGCTCCTCAACAACTTTTATATACCGATAGTAGGACAAAGCTGGCATGAATGCCCGGCCTAATCGTGAACATCCGGCCCACACATCATCCCACTGGTAGGTGGCATGGCATGGCACGGGGAGATATCGCAAGAGGAGCCCCTGCGACAAGCCTGCCTTCCCTAGCCCCTCATCCTAGCTATCAAGTCAAATCGGAAAAGGCAAGGCCAATGCCGATGTTTCAATCAAAAACTTCAGCAGAGAGTCACGCCCTTTGCCTTCTAAGCTAAACACCAAAGCTGAAGTCCAGAGCCTCAATACAGTTGCGGGTGCTTGCCGGTCTCCGGGCCGCAGCTCTGAGTCCACAGACCAAACCCCTAAGTTCTGGAAAAGTGGGCGGACAGAGGAGTTGCGACTGTGGGTCACGAGTCAAGATTGCCACCAGCCACTAGTAATTGGCAGTAACAGCAGCAGTGGATATAAGAGCGGTGACAGCAGCAATAGCAGCAGAGATAACAGCCGGACTGAAATTTTGGGCACTGTCCCAGCTCGTGATTGATCTGGAGGCACGGAGTCTTTATCGTTCCCTGGGTTTACTCAAAAAGAAAGCAATCGTTGCGGGGCTCATAGATTTCAGGTTTTCGCGGTGAATTACGGCGAAGAGTCAGTGAGAGGAGTTTGGCGATATCCTAAACCCTGAACCCCGCACCCTAAACGCCCTGAAACACGAAGTCCATCTCAGCTTAGGCCCTGATCGAGAGGGACTTTTTCCCCGATCTTCCTCATCTTCGTGCGAGGCGAGGACTTCTGTGATGGGAAGCTTCAAGGGTCAGGGCTGGGTGTTTACAGCGGTTTAGTGAGATGGTTTGAGGCTTCAGGTCTCAACAAAGAAGGGAATGTGGTGTTCAGAGGTTCGGGGCGTGTGGGGGGGGGGGGGTGAGGAATTGTTCTAAGCCCAGGACAACGTCAGATCCTGTCTGTCTCGTTCGTGTGTGTGTGTGTGTGTGTGTGTGTTTACATGTGATACGAACGATAGCTTGCCATAAGACTCGATGCTATCCCTCCCCACAAAATAGAGTTACGTTAGCCATAGAGACGGCGTAAAAGGATCCAATGCGCCAGCTTGGGGTGGAGAGTCTGGGGTTGAGTCGCAGTCGAGGTCTCAGTCATACTGCCATGCGCACTCCTTGCTAAATCAGCATTGAGAGTTGAAGCAAGCTTGTGCTATCTTTTATGCCTCCAGCCTCCTGGCAGTATGCAGCAAGCGTCGACGGGGGTGCTTGCCATTATTTGCCATTTAGTGATGCTGATGCTGCCTGAAGATTTCTTTCACGATGGTCATTACATGGGCGAAGCCACTACAGTCAGCACGAATGTGTGGCGTTGGCAGCATAAGCCTATGTGTGGCGTTGGCAGCATAAGCCTAGTGCAAACCCGAGCGACTCCGAGCATCCCCCAGGCAGCCCCAGGTTGGTATAGGCGGGGTACAAGGCTTTAGGCATGAGGGTTTGGCCGCTCGTCGTTATAAGCATGGGTGTGCCGATCGTCGTTCTTTCACCCCTCGACCTGAACCTGTAAAGCGCATGCTCTGTGAAGGCCTGGCAACCGCGAAAGGTTGCCAAGTCCCCGACAACGTTATTAAATGTGTCATAGTTATCTTTAACGGAAGCTGGGTTCGTGCCAACCCCGCATCAGCTGAAGCCTATCTGCCAGATAACAAAGGTCTGAGTTCAGGGGAGAGGAGCAAACCATATACTCTCCAAACAATACTACAAAGCCCACTTGGGATCAGCCGGTTGTCGAGCTAAGGCATGAGCTGATGCAAGCTCGCCTGCGCGGTGACAATGCCCTTGCCAGGGCGTTGGAGAAAAAGTTGCACCCCTGCTGCAAAGCGATACGTAGGTACTCAATCGATGCCCCGCTCAACCGTGAGCTCTTAGACCAGCAATTTTAGATCATTTTGGAACAGGGCGTAACGCTTTCAATATGGCGGGGCTACAAACCATGCAACTCAACTCCACTGACTTGAATCAGTTTGTGGTTTATTACGGTTTGTGGTGAGTTTGTACAGGTATAAACAGACAAGCCGATCCCAAATCTTAGACCCCTTTAGCACAGGGGCCTGAATAGTTATTACGGGTTTTCTGTTTATTGTACTGTTTTGGCCACGCAGCACTGTTATCGCCTCAATCCTTCAAACTCTTGAACAAGGTTGGAGATGCCACGGCCGACGCCGAAAGGAACGCCGCACATGATGCAGGCGCATGCCTCACCGCCCAAGCTACAAAGTGTCTCAGGAATTCGGATGGAGTGGTTGTGATTAGGCTTCAGGAAATCATGTTGTTAAAGTCTGCACCAGGGGTTCAGGGCCGGGCTGCGGAGGTTTGAGCTGTCGTTATTCAAAGCACCGGTTCATGTGCGTTTTGCTTCTGTGCATGGGTGGGCGGGCGCGTCGAATTCGGCTTCGTCCTCCGCCTAGTTCAACCTCTGAAGCCTATAGGAATACACACTTCTTGATGTAACGTCATAGTCTCTTCAAGACCCGGGACTCGCAAGACATGGGCATCGCGGTTCTACAGAGCTATCCGTTGTCGGAGCAGCGCGTCCTTAGGTTGACAAGCGGCTACTGTGTCTCGCAAAACGATATGGTTTCAGGAGGAGCGACGGCGTTGATTTGACTGTATCTGGGCACACAACACCAGTAATAGCAGTGGAGCAGGTTTGTAGGCGGTCTTCAGGCTTCTACGTTTCGATGACTCTCACCCACACTAAATGGATTCCTTAAACACGACCTTGGACTGGACCGTCCCTGAGACTTCTTCCGAGGCGACTCCGGCCCCAAGTGCCGCCGAAGGCGGCGGAGGGACGCCGCGCGGTTTCGCGATGACTTTGACCCTACGTGGTTGAGCTTGTAGCTGTCGTAGCTTCAGGGTTTGTGGGTTATGATTTTTGGCGGTTGGGGTGTAGTGTAGGACTTCAGGCTTCGCTGCGCCCAATCAAACGCCCAAAAGCCGTTTCGGCCCGAAACATGTAGTCCTGCACATCCTCAATCCGAAAGTCTCTTCGCATTCGGAGTTTCTGCTGGGCAGAGACTGACAAAGTTGAGCTTTAGCTCCAGGCCTTTTTGCTGGCAACTGTGCTACTTTGAGCTTTAGGCTTTCGGTGGTATGTGTACCCCAAACCGTTCGTAGACTCTTAAGTCAGTGCCTTACAGCCCCGCTTCCAGCATAGTGAGCCTCCAACCCCAAAAGAACTAGATGCGCTACACCTTGAAGCCTGAGCAATTTAAGACCATGAATGCAAAGCAGACCTGGACGCACAAAGATAGCGTCGTCTGAGACCCTGGAGAGCCCTCGTTCTAGCCGGCCATGTCGAACTCTTTTTACACCAAGTTCGAAGAACCCTCAACCCAACGATCCTTCTAGTGCCATATGAAGCCTGATAGAGCACCATTTGTAAAACAAGGGTAACCGTATGAGCTTGCTTGGAGCCCCATATCGCATGCTGTAAACCGTAAACCTTAATGGGAGGCAGACTGAAAAGAAGCCACAATGCTAGAAACCATAGACCCTGCATTGCCCTGGAGACAGCTTGAAGTATCCTTTGTTTGGGGAACCTTCCCCCTAACGAAGACCGACATCCCCAAAATATAGAGGCCATGAACCCTATAAGCCCGAAGCCCTAGCAATAAGAAATCTTCGGCCCTCTAAGGCCGATACCCCGACTCCCGGGCGCTGCCGGAGCGGCGGCGGCGAGGCCCTGTGCTTTGTAGGATTCAGGGGTTTGTCGGGGTTTAGGGTTGAGGGCTTCTCTACGCTTGAGGGGTGTAGGATGTAGGACTTTCAAGTGGCTGAGGTGAGGATTTGGAGTTTGGGTCGGGTCCTTTTGCGGTGAAGGGTTTTTGGGCTGAGGGCTTTGGGGTTGAAGGCTCGGGGTTGGGGTAAGGAGGTTTCAGGTTTGGGCTGACGGATTATGGATTTAGAGCGTCTGAGGTTCAGAAGGGGTTTTTGGTTGGTTGGTTCAGCGAGTGCGGATATTCGTGATTAGGGGCATTGGGCTTGATCGAGTGTGTAGGATGCTCGTCATTGATGTCGGTGTTCGGTTATGCTGGGGCCGTTTCTCGGAGCTTAGGATGTAAACATGTAAACTAGCTTTTCTACTGGCTGTTGAAGCCGCAAAGATCACCCTCTTTCCAAGTTCGGCCGAGCTCAGTCCTGAAGCCCTCACACGGCTTTTAGGAACATTCGCGGTGTTGGGGAGAGCTTCAATACCAGTGTAGGCGAAGCTTGTTGTTGTCAGGTTCAGCTTGGCTTAGATGCAGGCTTCAGGTGCCACAAAGAAAGTATGCAACAACGCTTGCCTATCCCGAACCGCTCAACATGACCAGTAGGTTTCTTACACTCACACTGCTTTAACTTTGCGGGGTCCCTAATTATAAACAAAAGTAAACAGCTTTTCTCATGGACTGTGTATGCGGGCTCCTCCCCCCTGCAACTTCTGTACGCTTTCCTGTTTGGAGGCTCAGCGCCTGGGAGAAAGACGATGGCTCCGAAAGCGCCGCTTTCATGCAATTAGAGCTTGGAAGCTACAGTATGCGCATTGGCACTGGGAGGCAGGTAGTCAGAGCAACGTTCGTAGTCGCACCTGCGCCTGCAGTTAGTCATGATTCCGTTCGGCAGTGGTCGTCTCAAAGAGGTTTGAGCGATGGCCTGCATGTAGGTCTGAAGTTGAGGCACTCCAGCAACCCATGCAGGATGTCGTCGTGCTGCACGCCAAGACATTGAATGTGCAGTCTCATGCCGTGATTTGCTCTCGAGCGGTCCGGAGCTTGCCGAGCACTTGGGCTACCAATCTGGGGGCATATGTAAAGGTTCGCCTGCTGCCTTGGGGCAAAGCATGGAGGCGCGTGCTCACGGGGGAGGCGTTCCCTCAATAAAGCGCGGAGGGGTGACAGCGTCCCTGCAGTCAGTCGGGGCCACGGGCATGATCAAGCCTGAGGCTAAGCATGCAATCGCTGCTGCTTTACGGAGAGCCAGATTGATTTCTGACAGAGATTACTTGGCTGCTATAACAGGACGGCCGCAGATGGTTGTTGTCTCCATACCAAGCTACTTTAAATCTCCACAGTCAGAGATTCCACTGCTAATGAACGATTACAGGGAGAATGGGCACAATCATAGGATGGCCGAGCAGATGCTCCAAGAGACTCACCTCAGACATGGCTCAGAGCTGTGCCAGTGCCATTGTCGGGAACACAGCGGATGTTGCCGAATGGAGGTGGAAAAGGTTCAACGGATTGAGAATAAAGCCCTTTTCCACAGGTTCAAAGTCTATGAGGCAGCAATCGCACAGGACCTCAGCCAGAGATTGGACAACCACGTGGAGGAAGTGCTATTGCGAGGTATTCATCCGTGGCTTCAGCGCCTCGGATGTCGAAATGGTTTGTGCAAAGCAGCCAACACAGTGTATCTGTTGCATGGCACAAAGCAGCACAATCTGGATTCAGTTCTGAAGGATGGGCTGCGCACCAAGTTCTCTTTGCACAAGTCGCCAGATGGCCTTTACGGAAGGGGCCTGTACTTCGCCAATAACAGCTGTAAAGCTTTTCAATATGCCGGACATGGCGGCTGCATAATCGTTTGCCGAGTGGTCCTGGGAAGGATCGAGCGACTTTCAGATCAATGCTACAGCCGTTTTTTTGCAAGCCCCACATTTCACTCTGCGATGGCCGAGGGCAAGCTAACGCGTGCGCAGGCGCAGGCTCATGACGAGTACATCGTCTACAATGACGATGCTGTTTACCCAGAGTTCGTGCTGAAAATGCGGTAAACTTCAGGCAAGGACGCCACATTTTCCGTCCAGTCTTCGGCACAGCGTCGAACTAATTATGTCTCATGTCAGCAGAGTACAGTTTCACCGTCGCCTGCGCTGCACTTCATGCCAGGCTGCAGGGTTAGCTTTAGGACTTTAGGGTTCAGGATGCATTTAAAAGATGGCCGGCTGCAGGAATGTGTGGAAAAGAGGAGTACACTTGGCTTGACATTTTGCATGCAGCACACGTGCACCTTAATTTGTCAAGCCGAGTTGCAGTTTCCGTTCCTTGATCATGTCTAAGAGTTTACGGCCTCAACCCGTCAACGCTCTGCTATGCCAAGGTCGCAAGCGCCAATGCAGGGCTCAGCGTCGCCGGCCAACACCAGGTCTCAGTCTTCTCCTCATGGACCTTGTTTAAGGGTTTGGGGTGCGCCTTTGGTGGCCTACAAGGCTTCAGAGTAGTGCCTTGATACCTGTCAAGGGTTTGTGGTGTGCTGTTTAGGGTTTGGGGTGCAAGGATCTGCATGGGATTCCGTATAATGTGTGGGTTTAACTGGTGGCCATAACAGCATCGGCTGCAGGGTCTAAGTCTTCCAGGTAAGCGGTTTACAGGAGTTGCAGCACAGGGTTGAGAATCGGTGGCTGCGGCGACAGTCCTTGGCCGCACAAGAAATCTTGATGTGCGCACCGAACTAACGGCTGTACAAAGCTTTGTACGGCTATTCGTATCGGATGTTGTGCGAGAAGTTTGCCGGCAGTTATGTGACTGGAGGGCTTGCTTTCTCATGCATGCGTCACTAGGAAGTTAAGCTGTTACCTGTGTTTGTGCATGTTGCTTGTTTGTGAGGCTTTCGGTAAAGGCTTTCGGGATGTCGTCGTATACTATCTACCTCCTCCGCTTTGCCATGCGCAGCTGACGTGGTCCAGGCCCTGCTGAAGCTCACCAGTGGCAGGGAGGCTTGCGCTCATGGTGAAGGAATTTGTTTGTGGCACCGCCGGGCATTCATGATCTTAGGGGGCAAGTCCACGACCATCCTCAATTTCAGACTGTAATGTTAAGATTGTAAGTAATGTTGCTTTAGAGGATCCTAGAGGTGTTGCCGACTATTCGCCGGGTCTACCCGCCGGGCTCACCCGCACAAGTTCCTTTGCGGGTTCGGAGGAGTGCAGCTATAGAATCTCAGCCAACGAGTGCGCATTTCGGGCTTATGGACTTATTGCATATAGCAACCTAAGCGGGAAGGCCCGGGGTGTTGCGCTCAACGGGCGCATCGGGATTATCCGCCGATTGGGGGCGTCTCTGGAGAGGCCCTAGATCAGGTATTGATACTCCAAAATGACACACTGCGCTGACGATGTAGCCCGGTGCAAGTTGTTGTCAAGGCTGAAGCGCCCAAACCCCCCAAAAAACCGCAGCAAGCCTAACCCCGCAAGCCCCAAGCCCCACTCTCCCTGGCCAGGTCCTCGTGGACCTATCCTCCGTTCGCTTAGATGAGTTTCAACAGGTCTTCACCTCAGAGGAGCGCTCCTATGTGTTGCTTTTCAGCTGCACAACCTTATTTCGATGGCTTTTGGAGGATATTGGCGGTGATGTCGTCGAATTTTCCATAACCTTAAAAGCAAAAAGGTTCCGAACCTTTGCAAGCCCTGTACACCTGCAAAGCTCAGAGTCTTAGCTTGAAAAATTCCGGAACTTCGCTAAGCCCGAAGCCCGACAACACATCCTCATCAAAGGCTCGTGACCCCATTGCGGAAGCAACAAATTCACAGCGTAAGAACAAGTGCTGGACCCTAGGCCACAACAGCAGTATCATACTATTCATCCTTCTTTTTACCCTCGACCTCAAGTGTCGCATCGACTTGGACAGGACAACGCTTCTTTCGAGGCGGTCTTAGAGAAAGATCGCCAGAGGCGGAGAGAAAAAGAATGGTGGGCGTCCTCGTCAGCAGGTAAGGGTTTTCAAAGGCTGTCGATTTTAGGACGTTTAGGGGGTTTAGGATGGTTTAGGTATGTTTAGGGTGGACAACTTGTGGCTTCATTCACCTGCTGCTATAATGATGGTGTCGCACTTGCTGGACTGTTGTTGGATGGTTTGGGGCTCCAGGTAGGGTTGTAAGAGGTTTACGGTTCTTGACCATGTGGCGGCTGTCACGCTTCGATGGTCTTAGAAGGATTCCCCGAGTTTCTTAGCCTGTTTCGAACATTCGACACGCTTCCTGTGTTGGGTCCGGGTTCCACAAATTTCGAATAACATGCTTTGAAAAGTGTCGTAGCTCCTCAACCCGAATGGCGCAACCCTCAGATCCAGCTTAGCATCCAAGATTTCGGGGTCTTCCACGCAACTTCGGATCTTACGATGTCGGCCGCATAGAGTCTCAAGCAAGTAAATGAACCAAGCGAGCAAACACATGTTTCGGGAGTTTAGGGTTACAGCAGGAAAGATGAAACACGGCACAGTCCTAGTCCTAGGACCCCAGGACCCTGAATCCTTGGAATCCTTTTTTGCCACAAACCTGCGCCAACTCCTCGCATGTGAAACGAGTCATAGAAGAAGATGGCGTTTCTGATTGTTGGAAGCACGAAAGCCTGCACTGTGCCAACGCCCCGCAATGCACGCCTGAAGCCCTGATCCCAAACACAAACCATTAAATGAAGGCCACGTTCAAACTGGCAACCTTACTATGCATCAACACCCGAAACGAGGTCGAGGGTCCCGAGCTCAAGCACAACACGCACCTTGGCTGGCACTTGGTCCTATAGACGTTTGTCCTACAAAGGCTTGGATTCGTATTATCAAACATATCCCCGATACACCCGGTGTAGTTGTACAAGATTTCCCGAAACCGGTCCAATCTTGAAGACCCCTTCGGCCCCAAAACTCGTATCTTGAATAGCTGAGTTGGACTTGGACTATGACTGTGTGACCGGCCTTGATAATTAGAAATTGGACAATGGCTACGCGACGGGTGCCAAGCAACGATGGCCCGGTGTCCAAGTCTGCGAATAGAATGGAACATCGCCGCTATACTCTTGGATGTTCGTGTTTCGGGTCTCGGTCGGACTGCGATTAGGCCGGCGATATGTCGGATCTTAAGGGACATTTTGGATCTTCTTGGCCCCTATAATTTCCAGCCCCTAAATGAAGTGGTGTTGCCGTGTTACACGATAGACTAGCTTTTTGATACACAGGGCCTTAAAATCGAAGCTTTAATTCGAACCGGGCCCTCCCCGTACACGGGGTTTAGACCTGGCATGCAAAGGCTGTCACATGGCGCACCAAGCTTGGCACACAGGGGAGGTGGGGCGGTCGAGAATGCGGATATGCCGCCCTTGTGGAGTGAAGTTTTGAAGTCATCTCGGTTTAGTGTTTGTCGGTTGCCACCAGAACCTGCCAAGTTGAAACTTTGCGAGCTTACGGATCTTTGTCTTTGCATGTTCATCCTGCAACCGACTCGCACCTGTTATTTCCTCGTGATTGGTTTTCGTTTGGATGGCTGATATTGATTGAAGGCCGGAAAGATTTTATAGCAAAGCACCTTCAAGACCCGAAAGTGCTGTGACTAGGCATGTGGATGGATACTCCGGCTACAAACAATTACATAGAGGCCGGCTGGAGTGTTTCGGCCAAGCGTGTCGAAATCCTGAAACTGCAGCCTTGTGTTCGTATCCCCCGCTGGTTTACGCTTTCTCTGAGCCTAGACCCAAACCCAAACTTTAAATCCAAAGTCGCAATGCAATTCCTTTCAACTTTCAACCGAGGAAGTGCAAAGAGCAGGCCCTGGACTTCGACAAAGTGGAGGTGGCTGCTTGGCTGTCGCAGAATTCGGGCCCGGTCTTTAGCCTCAGGAAATGTCATGCTTAGGTTTTTTGGTGGTATGTATTGCAAAGAAAAACCCGAACGAAAAGAGCGCCAAATCTGTTGGCCTCTTTTGGTGGGGGTCTGAGGTTTGGACGGTTTGGGTTGAGCCTTAAACAAGCAAATGAAAACCTACAACTTGGAAAGACACATATTTTAGGGGTACTTAGAAATAGTTTTTAATTTTTGGCTATTATAATCCCTCAGAAACAGCCAAAATTATGATTTTTGCTAGGGTTCTAAGTTCAGTATAGAAATAATATGCACCCTATGCCCTACTAGCTCCGATTCTGGTCGGGGTCGGCTCTCCACCGCCTTTCTGCACAGCTCACTCTTCAAACACAGTTCTGTCTTTCAGGGCAGATCATTGGTTAGTGGCGGCCGTTTTGCATGGAGTGGGCTTCAGTTCGGCTTTGCAGAGCCTGGTTCAGGACTTCGGGTTTCTTGTGCTCAAGCGTATTTCAGGTTTGTGCCGAATTTGCGGCCCTGGAGTTCAAGCCTCCATGTATTTGGATCTTCGAAGCCCCAAGAATCCCAGTCTGAATGTAGAGCAGGAAAGGAACATCGTTAGTTAATGGCTATAATTAGTCACGTGCTACTAAAAGGTCAATCGGCCCGGCACCATCATGACCTGCGAGTTCCAGGCCCTGTTCCGCGGAAGAGCGGGGGGGCTTCAATACGTTTCAGAGACAAGGATTCCTGGAGCCCGAACGACCCTACGCAATCCCGGAGCCGGATTTGAACAAGTTCGGATTTGAAGGAGTTGAGCTGGTTCTAGGCTTGCATTGCTATGATCCCGACTGTCCGGCTCGAGTAGAAGTAGTAATCTTGCCGGGCTTCGGGTTTAACTCAGACGTTGGAGTTGGGGAACGCTTCACGACTTCGGCTTTGACCTTAAACGCCCTTGGTCCCCCTCCGCACTGCACGGGAGGATCCGAGAGCTCTTGAAGACCTAAGGTTGCCCATTGTAAAGATCTTGTGCCCCGGAGGATCTCTCTGTTCACGAGCTTTTCTGGCCTCACTAACTCGAGACCCCAAACTAGCGATCGTGAATCCAAGTCGGAAGTTGCTTCATGTGCCCGATATCCCGATATATCCTGAGCCTCCATTCCAAACGAGGCGAGAAATACGCTGTACTTCAAGCCCAAAGGGGAGCTG